CTCAGAGGAAGGAGGGGTAGCCTCAGATGCTTCACAAAGTCATCCCTGAACCCTGAACCCTAAACCCTAAGCCCTTAACCGGCTGTTGGATGTGTGCTTTGAGTTCAGGTGTCAGAGCCTAGGCTTTGGGATCAGTGGCGACTTAGGGGGCAGGGTTTAGGGGTTTAGGGGTTTAGGGGTTTAGGGGTTTAGGGGTTTAGGGGTTTAGGGGTTTAGGGGTTTAGGGGTTTAGGGGTTTAGGGGTTTAGGGGTTTGGGGGTTTGGAGGTTTAGGGGTTTAGGGGTTTAGGGTTTAGGGTTTAGGGTTTAGAGCTTAGGGTTTAGGGGTGCTTGTGGGCCTGGCTTGCATCTAAGGGTTTCATGCCGTTAGCGTGGGCCCTTGAAAGGAGAACCCTTCTGCACCCCTTATAAACCCTATACAAAGAAAAAAGGGCCATACCCTAAACCCTAAACCCTAAACCCTAACCCTAAACCCTAAACCCTATACTAAACCCTAAACCCCAAACCCTAAACCCTAAACCCATACATCAGAACCCTTTCAAGGAGGCCAGGGACCTCAAAAAAGGGCGCACGTAACTACCCTTAAACGACATGACAAATCCGGGGCCTAGGCTTCTGAAGCTTGCAGGGTCTGCAAACTCGGGACGGGTCTCTCAGAAGTTTAGGGTTTAGGGTTTAGGGTTTAGGGCATCGTCAGCATGGTTGGAGTCGGGATCCTAAAGCCCCAAACTACGACTTGCCCCATAGGGTCTAGGGTTTAGGGTCTAGGGTTTAGGGAGTAGGGTTTAGGACTTCGATGAGGAGTATCGTGACACCGGCTCGCCCCCTTAGCAAGGGCTTTGGGGCTTGGGGTTTAGTCAGGGGCTCAACTTCATGGCCCCGTGCAATTCCATGAAAAAAACTCACTACACCTAATTTCTAAACCCTAAACCCTAAACCCTAAACCCTACACCACCAGAAGTCATAACCCTGAGCCCTGAATCCAAGGTTGAGAGCGCCACTTTGCAACTTTGGCTTCCTCTATTTGGCTACAGGAACTTCACAAGCTTGCAGTGTTTGGGGCCAAGTTTGGGCTTGAAGGTTTAAGGTTTAGGGTTTAGGGTTAGGCCCCAACCCCAAAACCACATCCAAAAAGACTCGGTGCTGTTCAAGACATAGATGAGGTCCGCGATGACCTGCGCTTGGCGTTCCGAAACCCCCCGACTGAGGGTTCTGCGCCAAGGGTTCAGGATTGACGGCCTAAAGCTGAGAACGCTTGTTACTATAAAACAGGAGTGAAATATATATATATATATATATATATATAAATGAAACATAGATACACATATAGAAATTAAACACAGAAAAACAAGTCTATCCATTTATTCTGCCGGCGTAGACCCCAAGCAGAGGCTTCGAGATAAATGCACGGTGCCAGCTTGGATGTGCCGCATGGCTTCATCGACCGGCGTCCTCTTACACAGTGTTGACAAACTTTTTGGGGAATATATGTACGTACATACAGACATACGTACCTACGTACGTACATACATTACATACATGGACATATATATATATATATACACATACATATACATATACATGTACATTTACGTATACATATACATACACATACACACACATATATGTATATATATATACATGTGTATATATATATATATGTGTGTGTGTACACATGCACATATGTTTAGTCTACACGTACAGCAGTTAAAACACATGTGTGCACACAATATATACCTGCCTATCTATACGCGCTTCTTCTGAATATCCCTCTGCAGGGCATGGAGCGCCATCTCGACTGCTTCGGGGCCCGAGCAGCCCTATACCCCACAGGCCGATCTATTTAGGGCTTAGGGCTTAGGGCTTAGGGCTTAGGGCTTAGGGCTTAGGGCTTAGGGTTTAGGGTTTAGGGTTTAGGGTTTAGGGTTTAGGGTTTAGGGCCTAGGCTGTACATGCGAGGTCGCGCGCTCGGGCGCGGGGCGCGTTGCCTGTAAACCCAGCGCGGCCACCCAAACTGTTCTCAAACCCCCCCCTCAGGGGGGGGGGGGGGGGGGCTTTTACGTCACCCCAAAAAGCATCTCATCCCACGAGTCTGCGAACACCATCTATTGGGGTAGCCTTAGGTGGCACAAGTCGATTCCATGCAAGGGATTTCGCGGGAATTGGCGGCTAAGCAGCTAACCCTAAACCCTAAACCCTAAATAGCCGACGCTTCTCTGTTGCGTGCGATGCACAGGATTCGTGCGAAGTCGTGGCCCCTTTAGGGCTTAGGGCTTAGGGCATAGGGTTATAAGGCCTCTCATTCAGCCCAACCCCCAAGCCACGACTCTCAGCCCAACTCGAAGTTAGCTCAGTTAAGTTGCTATTTCGGGGAGACCTTGCTAACTCGTTTTCTCTTCTGAGCTCATCATGTAAAGTTCGGGTGTGGCCCGCCTCCCACAGGGAAATGGCCACGACGAACGCGTCCAGCCAAGCCCACATCCTAGCGACGCTGTTGAGCATCAAGCATGTAAACCCAAGAGCAACTTAGGAATTAGAAGGGTACCCTTTTCGGCTTTCAGGGGCTTCGAAGGCAATCAACATCTCCCCTAAACTCAAGAAGAAGCGTCTTGAAGGAGGGTTTAGGGTTTAGGGTTTCTGGTTTTCGGGTTTCGGGTTTAGGGCTGAGGGTTTCGGGTTTGGCGTTACCTCTTGTGGTTTCCAGAATGCCTCTAAAGGGAGGCTTGCCATCATTGAGGCTCACCAGGATCGTTGGGTTTAGGGTTTAGGGTTTAGGGTTTTCGCTGCGAGTGCGCTTCGACCCCCTCCATGAAGTGGTTGGGGGTCGGCGCATGAGCTGCAATGCCCACCCTCCCACCCAAAATACAAACCTTGGACGGGTTTAGGGTTGTCTACCCCCCTACCCCCCTATCAAGGGGGGATATATGGTTTAGTAGAGCAGAACTGTGAAACTTGAAGTGTATTGTAGTCGAAGCATTCCTGGATCGTGTTTCCATTTCGAGTATGAGGTGATGTGACTCGGTCTGATCCCTGTCCATACCCCGTATCACCCGCAAGGCCAACTTCACCGAAGGCATTTCGCATCGAGTGCCAAAAGCGTGCGGCACGATCAAGGCCGGGCAGGGTTCGTAGCTCCCCCTAGGACTCGTAGTTGCCTCCCCGGCCGCTTCTAGTTTGACACTGGTAGCGGAGCCTTATGCTCCAGTAGGGCCTAGCGATGTCGGGCGATAGTCGAGTCGTTCCTGAAGTACATGTTCATGACGATGGGGCGCCGTCGAGCGCACCAAAGGGCTGTGGTGTCAGCTACTATGCGGCCGGTGATGGCACCGGCGAGTCAGCGAGCGGCCAGGGTGGCCAAGCGGGCAGGCATCGAACGGGGCAGGCTCAGGCCAACGAGGAAGATGAGTGTCGCGGAAGGCGGCAGTCATGGGGTGCCTGGTCTGGCCCGAGCTGGCAAGACAGTTCGTGGTGGAGTACCGCAGGATGGAGCAGCCAGGACTGGTGGCATCGTTGGCAAGACCCGTGGAGCCGAACCACTTCCTGGACCCCAGAGAATAGTTCCACCGGCTCAGGTGGAGGAAGCCGAAGAGACGAGCAAGAAGGCCACAACGAAGGTGGGGGCGACCAAGACGACGTTCTCCATCCTGATCCCTGGGCAGATGGTCGAGACCGTGGCCCCAGACGAGCTCCCCGGGCCGATGGTCGAGACCGGGCACATGCGCATGACGGAGCTTGGGATGGATGGAAGCACTTCTCCCCGACCTGTGATGAGCAGAAGACTCCTGATGATGGCATCGGAGGCGTCATGGCATGGAAGGGGGGGCCAAGGCCCTCCGAGAAGCTCAGCGTCCCCGGCTTCGACGGTGACGAGTCCGAAGACATCGGCAGCAGTGCAAGGTCGTACCTTCGCCAGGTAGAAGCCTGGAGGCGTATGACGCTTCTTCCTCCACGGCAACAAGCTCTCGTGCTATACCAACATCTATCTGGACGAGCATGGGTGGCGGCGGAAGAACTGGACATGGATCGCCTAGGCCAAGACAACGGAGTATCTTACTTCGTCAAATGGGTGTCCGACAGATACCTCGACCTAGAGATCACCAAGATTGGCAAAGCTTTCTCAGAGTTCTTTCGCCGCCTCAGGAGGAAGCCAGGGCAAAGCATCAGGGACTACAACAGCGAGTACGACAGATTGTACGCCAGGCTTCGTGAAGTGGGATGCGCCTTGCCGGAGGATTGTGCTGCTTGGCTGTATGTGGACCGCCTGCAACTCGAGGAGGCGGCGGAGTTGAATCTCCTAGCCAGCGTCGGCAACGTGTACTCCTTGGGCAAGCTCCAGAAGGCGGCGATCATCCAAGACCGAGGACATCGCAAGCCGTGGGAGAATGGCAAGACCAAGAGGGCACATGTCGCTCACATGACAGACCACGACGACGTGCAGGCCACCGAGAACGAAGAGGGGGACAGCGAGGAAGATCTTCCGGAGGAAGTCGCACTGGCCTATGTCACCTACCAGAATGCAAAGAACAGGTATAAAGAGCAGTCCAAGTCCCGGGGCTACGTCGGCAATGATGACCACAAGAAGACCAAGGACGCCGAGCGGGATGAGAGAGTGCGCCAGATGAAACTGAAGAGTTTCTGCTCAGGATGTGGAAGGAAGGGGCACTGGCATCGGGATGCCGAGTGCCCCAAGAACAAGGGAGCTGCCGCCCCTGGAGCCACCAGAGAGACCGTCAAGGAGGTGGGAGTTTGCTACCACGTCCCCGCAGAGGTCTACACCCTCCGACATGAAGGCACGCTGGTGGGCATCACGGACACAGCCTGTGCGAAAACGGTGACAGGAACAGGATGGCTGCAGCAGTACACCGACATGCTCCCTGAAGGTATGCCCAAACCAACCCTCATCCGCGAGTGCGAGGCCTTCCGCTTCGGAACTGGAAAGGTGCACTACTCCGCCTTCGCTGTGAATCTCCACTTCGCCCTCGGCAACTCCGTGGTCACTCTGAGAGCCTCAGTAATCAACGGCGATGTGCCGCTTTTGCTTTCCAAGCAAGTCCTGGCCAGCCTCGGGATGGTGTACGATGTCGCTGCCAACCGTGCCAGCTTTTGCAAGATTGGGATCAAAGATTTCGATCTTAGAACCACTTCCTCGGGGCACCCTGCCATTCCGATTGTTCCGACAAAGGCCGGAAGTGAGATGCAGGAATTGCATCTCGATGATTCTGGAGCGCCGGTCTCTGAGCAATACATGGCGTTCGTGCTTAGTGAGGTCAACGGGTCAGGCAGGGTTGGCAGTTCTTCCTACCACATCTTTTACGACAAGAAGCTTAGCCCCGAAGTGAAGAACCTCCTCACCCAAGACAAGCTATGCGAAGTATCTTTTATGGCATGGTGGAGTAGATCGGGGCTCTCATCCGACTTCTGGCTTGAGGCTGAGCACTCATGGGTTCGGGTACATGTCACCCCCAGGAGGTCGTTGTTCAATCCTGGGGCATGGAAAACTTCCCACACAGTACAGAAAGACATGCTGCTCAACATGATTGGTGAGTTCAGGGTCACCGAGGGCATTTGCTGCCGAACCAACAAGCCGCTAGAGAGCGTCGCAGACCTTTGGAGCCCCATGTCACTCCACGAACCAACTTTCCCGCTGCTTTGGGTTGGCCGAAGTGTTTTCGCAAAAAGAGCTAGCATTGCCACTCCACCCCTTCGTGCTGCCGTACCTGATGGAGCCAGCATGCCGCGCCCCTGCGATCAGCAAGATGTCGAAGACCGAGTTGTTGTCGGAAGCCACGAGGGTAGGCCTGGTGGTCCATCGAAGCTGGAGCACGGAGGAGATCAAGGCGTGCATCATGGAGCATCGCTCGGAACACGACGCCTCGAGCGTGGGGGTGGCAATGAAAGCGATCACCCAGCTGAACTTCCCCGAGCTGAAAGCCAAAGCGACATCCCTGGGAATCAACTTTCCGGAGAAGATCACGAAAGGGAACCTGCTGCGCCTGGTGAGGGACTCGCTCAACACTCCGGACAACGACCTCATGACCATCGGCAAGTACCGGGGGTACGAGTTCCGCGAGATCCCCGCTCAGTATGCCGAATGGGCCAGCAAGGAAGTCAAAGCGAACAAGGATCCACACGCGGAGTTGGTGAGGTTCGCTCGATGGTGGGACCAGAAGCAGCAGAGGAAGAACTACATCACGACAGAGCTCCTGGAGGAGAACAGTGTGGTGCCCTTCCCGGAGGCGAACTCGACATCGAGGGCAACATCCAGTGCGGGCGAGTGGTCGTACCTGGACGAGGAGGGCAGGTCTCCCCATCGAGAAAGCGGGCGAACTCCGATGAAGCGACGACCACAGGACAGGACAACGAACATGCAGGTGGACAGCAGGGAGGTGGACCCGCTCGACGAGATACAGGCTTTGGAGGCGAAGCTGACAGCGCTCAAGGAGAAAGCGGGCTACCCAAAGACGGGGGGCAAAGCTCAGTAGACGGGGAAGGAAGTCTCGGCCGGGATGTACCCGCCCAGCCTAGCCGAGAAAAGAAGAGTGGTGGGAACATCAACGACATCTGCTGTGGCCAAATTCCTCGGACACCACCGGTGTTCGAGAACTTCATCACCGAGGGCGACTTCGTGAAAGGAGCCCATGCCCAACACCTTTGCTACAGTACGCAGGGCGCAGCAGACCCTAAATTCGATACCGGTGCCATTGCCGGTGAACAAGCTGCTCGGAAGGCGATTGCCGAGAACGACTTCAGCCACGATTCATGCTTGAGGGTGCTCAGGGCAGCCAACCTTGTCGCTACGAGGAATACAAGGGGACCGATGCTGGGAAACAAAGCCGACAAGGTCGACTACCACTCCTTCGGCCTCTACACACATGGGGGCATGCAGGGTATTACCAGAGACACGAAAGACCGGCAGGCCTTGGTTCGGTTCCTGAACATGTACGCAAAAGCTCATCTTCCTCAAGGGGCGACATGGACCTCGGTGGCGGTGACCCTGAACTGCAAGACCGGCCTCCACTCTGACTTCAACAACCTCCGAGACTCTCAGAACTACACGGTGTCGCTCGGAGATGGGAACGGCGGTCGTTTGTGGTTAGAGGACAAGAAGATCGAGGAGCTCGAAGCTAACAGTGGCAAGGTCGAGTGGAAGCAGAACGCCAGCGGACACTGGATACCCGGGAGGTCGCTGAACACCTTCCAGAACTTCACGACTTTCGACCCGTTCCTCAAGCACATGACCGGAGATTGGGAAGGTGAGAGGTGGTGCCTCACTTTCCACACTACAAGGGGAATCCAGAAGGTCGGATCCGAGCTCAAGAGATACCTGAAGAACTGTGGCTACCCTCTACCTCGTCTGCCCAATAGCCAGGTTCGACAGGCAGATGGACAGGATGAGGGCCCGAAGCGCCCACAGAAGAGCATGAGAAAACAGATCTTCAAGAATGCGGCCAAACTCAGTGTCCTCATGATGAGTCTCGTAGC